TGGGGGAGATTTTTGGAAACATTGGGCTTTAATATAGAGTCTTGCTTCTAAACACACACACACGATGTACAATATTTTTTCCTTCCAATTTTATACTTTGGGTTTGTTGGCATCATAAATTTTATATTATATGAAGCTCATGAATTTTGAAAAAGGTGAAGAAAGTATGAAGGTCTTTACATACAGTGCCAAAAATAAGGTTTGCAAATTATGCTATAGTTGATGGTTTTTGTAAATAATATTGTGTAAAATCTACAGTAATCTTTATTTATCAGATATGACTCATGCCAATAATTTAGATGTGCTGGACATACAACTTTCTTTTTTTCTCACATTGAAAAAAAAAATTCAAGCCCACATTTCACTAGTGTGGCAGAGACTTTACTTTTCTTTCCCCCTCAATTTCACAGGCTCTACATCATGCTGAAAAAAGTTGAAATATTCTGGTCCCTGGGACATCCACCCACTTACATGTCTACTGAGATGCCCATTGTCTTATGTGTCCACATGGGTCTCAAATGATACTGCCTTCGCCCCAGTCCTCCTGGCTCCTTCAGGATTACTGCCATTTTCTTCATGCCACTAATGGGCAAAGAGTCTGCACGTGGCTATCTCTGGCCCATAGTGCCTAGATGTGTGGTATGTTTATCACCCTCTAGGATCTTCCTACCTCCCTGGACTCTGACTCAGGTCTGTCTAATCCTAATCCTTTAGGTTTTTCAGAGTTCTGCCCAACAAGCACATGTAAAGTCTCTCCCTCTATTACTATTTCTTTTCATCCCTTTCCTTCCTAGCCAGGCTAAGTTAATGTTTTTAATGTCTGGAGTTGGAGATCCCCACTATATTTCTTGATAGTTTTCCACAAAGACACAATCCCCCCAATCTCTCTCCTTTTTTTTTTTTTTTTTTTTTTTTTTTTTTTTTTTTGCTTAGTAGCTATTGAGAAAATAATCACCATGGTAGGTTTAGGATTTTGCAAAATAACTGATGTTTTTACTGTTCTCTACCCTGTTTCATCTTCATCTATGCAATGAATACCAAAACCTGTATGAATAGGCTGGGGTAGGTAAAGGGATATATACAAGAAGAAAAAAATATATATGTATATTTCAAAATTATTTTCATAAATAATTGTGTAAAATGATATTTGTGTTTATTGCTAAAACAATTTGAGAGCATGCTTTTAAATTCTATAGTAGGTGGATATAAAAGTGATAAGTAAAATAAATTATTCCCTTTTAATGAAGTGGTTTTAAAAAACATATGGTGAATAACTCCAACCCCATTAATCATTGATTACCACATGAAATTCAGTTCTCACAGGAAATCTAAGATATATACTTGATTAGTTTATTAATTTATAAAGTGAATTGGTGCCCTAGAAGCCTCCAGTGGTGACCAGTGAGTTTGTTTCTTTTTTCAGTGTCATAAAATAATTTTTATGACAATTGCAGATTTATGAGTATGTGTTGGGTTTTAAATGATATCAAGAATTATTTATTTTGTTAGATGTGATAATGGAATTGTAATTTTATTAAAAGAAAATCCTTATTGGTAGTGATAGATTGTGAATTTAATGGAGAAACAGTTTGATGTTTAGAATTTGTTTTAATAATACTCCAACAAAATACTAATAATGATGAGAATGATGAGAGTGATGACAGGAATTAAACAATGAAATGTTAGTGGTTGTTGAGGTTGGATAATGGCTGTAGGGAGCTTTATTATACTGTTGTCTCTAATTTTTGAAAAGTTTTAAAATTCCTCAAATACAGAGTTTATTTTAAGTATACAGTGAAAGAGTGATATAAAGGTCAGAGTCAATATGTGAAATATACATGTTCTTCCTTTTTCTATTAATTGTTTTGATCCAAAGATATAGTGTATTTTACAAAACTATAGCCAGATGGTTTTGTATATAGCAAGCATATTTTATACATCGAAGTACATTTCAAATGGTGAAATAGCAATTAGACAGAGATTTTCAGTAATTACATTTGTATTTAGAAAACCAGAATGTAAATTGGTATATGCCTCCATTAAAGTCCTTTTGAGTAATATAAAGTCTTTGAAAAGTTCTCTTTAGAATATAGCAATAAAATCATTAGGCAGTAACTTCAGCCCTGCTCTGTTTGTATGACACCCAGGGGGAATTTAAGGACAGGGCATGACAAGCGTCCTACGGCAACCAAATAGATGGTATCTCTGTGTTCTAGGCACATCTGAGTCCTAAAGCATACTTGGTCAACTATGCCACAAATAACACACTCACATGCAGAATTTCTTGCACAGAATTTTGTCACCTTTTCTGCGTATAGAAATTTATACTATTCTCAAATAGCAGAGTAAATAATATTTCCTTAAGAAGTTAACTCATT